CTCTGAGAGATTTAGGCCAGGGCTATGCCCATATTGGTCTCAGCATAGCTACATCCAGGACCAATTATTGCTTTCTCCAGGGTCTCTTTCCAGAAACCAACCTATCCCAATTGCACAAATTTGTGTTCTTCATTTTCCCTTTAGACACTGAGCTTGATTAGTTTTGCATCCAGATTGACTGCGTTCTACTGATAGAAATATAAACCCCAAAAGAAACATTAGAAACCACCCCTTAGTCCCCAGAAAAAAACATAATAGAAACAACAAATTAGTACTATAACGTACTACATAAGCCTATATAAGACATGATCTTTGATATCCAGGAGCGCTCATTCTTTAACTGAAACAGTTAAAGAATAAATGATACAAAGTAGTATAATTAATGCTCACTTGCGTGAACTTAATAAATACTGTATTCAAAGAGAAAGAGAAAGCAATGTAGATTGTAATGGTTGCTGAAAACTTCATGGATGTTGCTGGCGAGACTTACTGCGATTTGAGTTATGCTAAAGACAAAGGGAGGGGAGGAGGTATATCAGGTGAAGCCAGCACTATGAAATAAAGCATACATAGAAGGAATGAACAAGTTGTCTTCAGGGGGCAGTGAGCTAATTACTCTGACAGTGGGTAAGTTTTTGGGGAGAAGTAGAATGGCAGTATATTATGGAGGGCCTGGAAATGAGCCACAATAGTTACATAAGCATACAACATGCAAGAATGAAAATGTCATTGCGAGGTGGACAGTATTTTACTGGCTAAGGAACTACTTCTCTTTGACCAGGTTTGAAGAAATCAGTAAACCTGTGGAATTGGGCAGTTACCAAGGAGAGTAGGTTGCTTATAAATGAAGAGCAGAAAACTAAATGTACGTATACATTTTGTGACTCATATTATATGAAGATGTTTTTACTATACATTAGGTAGTATTCCTGCAGTTTAAATAATATTTTGACCAGTTCTTAGATGGAGATTTTTTAAGACAAACCAAAAATAACCCAGAATGAGTGGTTTTATTAAACAATAGGCTCCCTCAGTTTTTGATTTTTTCAGAGGTTAGCTATTATTTAATAGATGTTTAAAGGCATCACTGTAGAGAAAATCTGGGAGGTGAGCCAACAAAAGTTATAAAGGGTGGGAAATGAGAACTTGAACAAATGTTGAAGACGTGGATTATTTCCTGTGGAAGAGGTGATCAAAACTTTCAGGATTCTGAAGGACCATCAAATAGTAGTTTCCCTTTCCATTATAACTAGAATAAAGTAAACGTGTTGCTATGAGAGTTAGGATTTAGATTTTAAAAGTGTAAGGAATAGTTTCTTCATGAGGTGAATGATAAAATTGGCATGAATTACTGAGAAAACTGTAGTTCTGTTTATACCTGTAAGGCAAACAACAAGAACAAAATAAAACCCCAAACCAAACTCATCTTTTGGATGCTTAAAATTGGTCCACTGTCTGGCAAGTTCAAGTGCTTTAGCTAAATGAGCAAGATCTAGTTTGCTGACATTTACTGGTTTTCAACAAGTGAGTGACAGCAATACATTATGGAAGTATCTGCCTATTATAAAGGATACAGTTGAAGCAAGAAACCAAAGGTGAACCTCTGGACCGCTTGACTTTGTAAAGATAAATGGCTTTTGGTCTGTATACAACAATAGAATTTACTATTAAGTATTTATCTTTATTAATGTAAAGAAATTGTATACAACTTCCTGTGTAGGTATAGAATAATGTGATTAACCTAATCAATAATATACTTACTCATGAGTCCAATCCTCTATTAGGATGTTTAGAGAACAATTCTCTCTCTTTAACTCTCAGGTAAATGTTGATATCATTGCTCCTAGGACCCTTAGAATATACCCTCCCCCTGCCTAAATATGGGAGGGAAGTGTTAGGAATTTATCTGTGGGAGAAATTTAGCACACAGGAGAACTGTGCAACATTAAAATGCTTTCAGGCTGGGTCGTGGTGGCTCATGCCTGTAATCCTAACACTCTGGGAGGCCAAGGTGGGAGGATCACTCAAGGTCAGAAGTTCAAGACCAGCCTGAGCAAGAATGAGACCTCGTCACTACTAAAAATAGAAAGAAATTAGCTGGACAACTAAAATATATAGAAAAGAATTAGCGGGCATGGTATCACATGCTTATATGTAGTCTCAGCTATCAGGGAGCTGAGAGCAGCAGGATTGCTTGAGCCAGGAGTTTGAGGTTGCTGTGAGCTAGGCTGATGCCACTGGCACTCTAGCTTAAGCAACAGAGCAAGACTCTGTCTCAAAAAAAAATGCTTTCATTCTTAATTCTTACTATTCTGCATATCAAGGAATATTGCTCTAGCTGTTTTTCACTGCTTGTCAAATATCAGGGATGTGGTAGATACAGTAGGTGCTGCAACCCTGGGACCTTTTCCCATGTACTGTTTCACTTCATGTAGCAGTTCTTAATCAGGTATTTGGGGCCGAGTATGGTGGCTCACGCCTATAATCCTAGCACTCTGGAGGCTGAGGCGGGTGGATTGCTCAAGGTCAAGAGTTCGAAACCAGCCTGAGCCAAGAGCGAGACCCCATCTCTACTATAAATAGAAGAAATTAATTGGCCAACTAATATATATGAAAAAATTAGCCGGGCATGGTGGCGCATGCCTGTAGTCCCAGCTACTCGGGAGGCTGAGGCAGGAAGATTGCTTGAGCCCAGGAGTTTGAGGTTGCTGTGAGCTAGGCTGATGCCATGGCACTCACTCTAGCCTGGGCAACAAAGCGACTCTGTTCAGAAAAACAAAAATAAACAAACAAACAAAAATCAGATATTTAGGTGCTTTTTCTATGTATAGTACTTTTTTGATGCAGTGGAGAATAGGATGTTAGTGCAGGAAGCCTACAATTTAAAAGAATTTTGTTTTAAAAATATGTTCATTGGAAGATAATTTGTCTCTTTAAAAACATATTTAGTCTGCCTGGATTATGCTCCATGATGAAATAAGTCATCAAGATTTATAAGCCACAATTTTTATGATTTGAAACAATTATGGAACAATGAACAGAAATAGGAAAACCAGAAGTAGAGGAATGATTTGTAACTCTTAGTTTTAGACCTGCTGCATTTGAGGTGACAGTAACATTGGGTATATGAAACTAGAGCTTATGAGAAGGGTCAAGACTGGGCCTATAGATTTGCCAGTTATCTACATGGAGGTGGTAGTTGAAGTCCACAAGGGTATTGCTCCTTTGAGGGAGAAAACAAAGAACAGTGGTTCTTAAATATTGGTAAAAACCAGAATCATCTGTGAAGCCTGTTAAAAATACAGATGTCCAGGCCCTACCATTCATTGGTGGTTTTAGTTCATTTAGGTTCAGGATGAAATCTAGGTATGTCTATAATTTGAAGAAATTTCTCAAGAATTCTCATACACACCAAATTTTAAGAACCAGTGGTATTGAAAGAGGTACAGAGTAGTGAGATTATTAACTTTGGATCTTCTAGTTAAAGACTGGGAAGAAAAGGAACAAGGATGGGAGAGCAAAAGGAACATTAAAAAATTCTAGAGCAGACTTATTATCTATTTATTGAGTGCATAATCCTTAAAGGGTTGTACCATGTTACTGCAGGCAGTAGGTGAAGGGGACAAGGTAAGATACCACAACAATGATACGAAGCATACATTATACTCGGGGATCTGAGAAGGAAAGGGTTCCAGTCAATAAACAATAAAAATAAAAATTCATAAATGTCAGAGTGTACAACATTGTGTTTATCCAAAGTCAATTCAAGTATCAGGCTGTGGGCACTGGTAAAGTAGAGTAAGCAGATGTTCAAAGGAGTCAGTCAGCAAGCACCTAACCAAGATGTTTATAATATAGAGAGGTCAAGAACAGGCAAATAAAACAAGAATAGAGCAACAGCATCAAAGAAAATGTCTGTATACTGAAGTTGCATTCTGTTTCAGCCTCTGCTACCTTTGGCTTAAAGGCTTTTTGGTGATAAGTATAAACGGCTAGCGTATGAATGTGAGGATGGGAGCAAAGTTTAGACTAAGATATTTCCTACAGAGGGACACTGTTCAATTCTGAACCAGGATAGTTCATGCCAAGGAAGTAATATTTTTCAAAAAGGTTATGATCATTGTGAAATGTTGCTGGGAAGTCAGGGAGGGGATAATCTTTGGAAGTACAGTTTTAGTAAAGTGGTAAGGATATAAAACAGATTGCAGGGGCTTAAGGAGATGAATGAGTAGCAAGAAAATATAGATAGTAGACTATTCAATTCAAGAAGTTTGGCAATGAAAGGAAGAGGAGAAATGAGATGCAAGCTTGAAGCACAATGGGGTCAGTTGATTTTTTTTCAAGGTGGGGGAGGTGAGTATGTTTGAAAGAGAGGATGGACTAAATTGAGAAGGAGGTACTCAAGATACCTTTAGAGAAGGGAAATAATTGAGAGGTTAGGGTCCTTGAAAATACTGAAGGATTAGTAAACTTTGTAAAAAAAAAAGGAAACACTTAAAAAATTTTCAAAACTGGAAATTCAAGTCAATTTAAATATATGATTAGAAATTATGTTACCAAAAGTTTTCTTTCAGAATAAATTAACTTTCTTAAGTGATGATTAGATTTTATATTTCATGATAAGCAATAAAAATCTGGCCACTTCAATTACTCTGTAATTTCAGCTGGGCAAATCTTCTCTTTTCAATGGACTATTAATTAGAAATGGCATTAACATAGGTAGAATGGCTGTTGAGATCTAACATAAAGGTGACTAGTTCAGTTATTTGTGAAGATATTTTTTAAAAACTTGGATATGTTTTATGATGAAAGAAACTAGAAATAAAGAGATTATAGTTATTTGAACTTCCCTATTTTTAGGGAAAATTAACTATATAATGAAGATGTCTAATTTTTAATAACACCAAACTGGCTTTCCTCTAATCATCCTTTCTCTTTATAGGTGTACATAAAAGCAGAATGATGTTCTGTTTTATGGTTGTCTAATTACTGTTTTGCAGTATGTCACGTTGCTTGCAAATTGGTGTGTATGTATGAAGGCTCAGTTGCTTCAGAAGAAGCTATTCGAAGACAGATTTTGGTAAGTGCTGATACAATGAGATAGTTGTTACTGCTATGAAAATGATTGAAGTTAGTGTAAAACTGGAAGGGAGTTGAATCCTCTCATGCTATCCATGTTCCTTTTATGATTGGTATATCTACTGAAGTTAAAGGTCTCCACAATACTATAGTTATTATAATGATTCAATGAACTAAATACTGAACTTAAAATTCTGGATTGGCTGGGTGTGGTGGCTCACGCCTATAATCCTAGCACTCTGGGAGGCCGAAGTGGGAGGATTGCTCAATGTTCGAAATCAGCCTGAGCAAGAAGTTCTAAATCAGCCTGAGCAAGAGGGAGATCCCGCCTCTACTAAAAAAAATAGAAAGAAATTAATTGGCCAACTAAAAATACATAGAAAAAATTAGCCGGCATGGTGGCGCATGCGTGTAGTCCCAGCTACTCGGGAGGCTGAGGCAGGAGGATCGCTTGAGCCCAAGAGTTTGAGGTTGCTGTGAGCTAGGCTGATGCCATGGCACTCTAACCCAGGCAAAGAGCGAGACTCTGTCCCCCCACAAAAAC